CCATTTGCAGCTGTTCATTCACTTTTTTTTCAGTTCAAAAACCAGAATTTTATAACTGGCATAAACATTTCTATTGCATCAAAACCCACAAAATGCCTGGAAATAAACAACTAAGGAGGTTATCTATACTCTGAAGACTGTAAAACACTGATGAAGGAAACTGCAGATGATGCAAAGAAATGGAAAGAGATCTTGTGCTCTTGGATTAGAAGAATCAACACTATCAAAATGGCCATACTACCCAAAGCAATCCACAGATCCGGTGCAACCCTTGTCAAAAGACTCACGATGTTTTTCACAGAATAGAATAAACAATTCCAAATTTGTATGGAACCATAAAAGACCCCAAATTGCCAAAGCAATATTTTGTAGGTCTTTTTTTTTTTACTTTCTTTTTGTTCTCTACAGTTTGGTGACTAGAGAAGTTCCTTTAACATTTGTTGTGAAGCTGATTTCATGGTGCTGAATTCTTTTAGCTTTTGTTTTCTGTGAAGCTTTTGATTTCTCCATCAAGCTGAGTGAGAGCCTTGCTGGATAGAGTATTCCTGGTTGTAAGTTTCCCCCTTGCATCACTTTAACTATATCGTGCCACTCCCTTCTGGCCTGTAGAGTTTCTGCTGAAAAATCAGCTGATTACCTTATGGGAGTTCCCTCGTGTGTTATTTGTTGCTTTTCTCTTGCTAGTTTTAATATTTTCTCCTTATCCTTAGTATTTGTCACTTTGATGACTGTGTGCCTCAGTGTGCTCCTCTCTGGGTTGATCCCATGTGGCTCTCTCTGTGCTTCCGGGACTTGGGTGACTGTTCCCTTTCTCACACTGGGGAAGTTTTCAGTATCAGTGTTTTCCTTTATTAAGGTGGAGGGAAAAACCTGTTTTCCCTGACTCTTTACAGTGAGTTTGTATAGATTCGCAGTATCTGCTAAGCCAATATACTGTTGGCAGAGATGGGGAAGGAGACACGTATGTCCTGTCAAATATCCTTAAGACACGCATGCCAATCCCAAATCAGAATGCTTAAGAAAAAGTGCCTTCCTTTCATTTGAATGGAGTACAGACTGTGAGGAAAGTACCCCATTCCGCTGTGCCCCTAGTGAGAGGTGAGCACTGCAGAGTAGAAATGAGAGCACCTTTTTCGTTTGGCACCTGCTGTGGCAAAATTACAAGTAATTTAGGGTCAGGCTCAGTCCATCTTGTTCCTGATTCTGTCCACAGTCTGACTTGGCCATAGTAAGTGCTTAATATAATGGAGCAAAGGGTGACTATATAAGTGGACAGTATTCAGAAACATACATTCTAACATTTATAGTGATCTGACCAGTTTATGGAAATAGTTTATTTTGTGCAGCACGCAAAAAAAAAAAAAACAGTCTAGACACCCAGGGGTCTGTGCTGATGAGCACAAAGGGCCTGAGGGCGGGGAAGCACGCGGCCATGAGGGTGTTGGCGCTCACCAGCCACTGGCCGCGCTCGTCAGAGCACGCTATGTAGAAGGTGAAGAACG